TTAAAATAGAGTATCCTGGGTTATCCAGGCAGCCCAACATAATCCTGTGGGACCTTTATAAATAAGAGAGGTAGAAGAGTCTGAGAGTAGAAGGTGGACGATGGAAACAGAGTTTGAGTGATGTTAAGTGAGAAAGACAATATACCATTGCTGGCTTTGAAGATGGAAGGGTCAAGGAATTATGCAACCTCTAGAAACTGGTAAAGGCAAAAACATAGATTGTCCTCTAGAGCTATGAGAAAAAAAATGCAGTCCTGCTGACACCTTCATTTTAGCCTAGTGAAATCCATTTCTGACTTCTGACTTACAGAACTGTAAGATAATATATTTGCATTGTATTAAGCTACTAAGTTTGTAGTACAGCAGTAACAGAAAGTTAATAGAGAAATCATATGTACTAAGTAGACAAGAATATAAGAGGTGGGGCCTGAATCCCCATTATGTTTATCAAATCCTTGCTCTTGTGTGTACTATATTCAGAACAAAATAAATTTTTCAAAAAAGTAAGAGTCATGGTCTCTGCTCTTGAGGAAAAAAAGTTTACAAACTAGTCGGAATTTCCAATGGGAAAACACAACCATATGGCAGAGACGTTAAAAGCACACAGTTGGGCCAACAGGATAATCAACCATCATTTACATGGCTAGCCAACCCAGAGAACTGGCAAGCAAGGAGAATCACTATAGCAGCTGTTGCCATGGCCCCAAATCCTATGATAGCAACTGAAATAGAAACAAAACAAACAAGCAAATAGAAACCCTCAGAGATCTTGAACCTGTAAAATTGGGAGGCAGCATACAATAATCAAAGAGAGTACAGAGCTACCTTAGACCATTTAGCTACTAATCTCGAATCTACCTAACAATGGGCTTGTGACCTTGGGCAAGTTACTAAGCATCCTCTTTTTCCTTACACTGAAAATGAAGTTAGACCCTTCCAGCTACTCTCTGGGAACTAGCTGACATCACTTCCAAAATAAGCCAAATATTCAATCTTTCATTTTTAATATATAAAAAATGTAATCAAGGACAATTTTAGTACAGGAAGAAAATGTATATGTATGATTTTCTTAACAATACTCAAATTTATTTATTGACTACATATTTTATGCCAAGTTGTTTTATACTTTCACAAATACATACATTAACACCTGCCCATATATTTATATATGCATATGATATATCTGGTAAATATGTATATTTATATAGAGAATATATATATAAAGAAAATATATTTAGTAAAGCACCATAAGGGTTTTATAAGTAAACTAGTATACTTTGGAGATTCTAAAAACATAACTGAAAGAGTGAAAGAAATTTTAACATGACCACAGTATTAGTCAGGGTTCCCAGAGAAACAGTATATAAATATATATAGAGAGAGATAAGGAATTATCTCAAGTGATTATAGAGACTACTGAGACGTCCCAAGATCTTCAATCAGCACACTAGACACCCAGGAAAGGCAATGGTGTACATCCAGGCTGAGCCCAAAGCCAGGAGAGCTGATTGTGCATGTTCCAATAGGCAAGCAGGCAGTCTCAAGACCCAATAATAACTGATGTTTTAGTTTAGGTCCAAAGACAGGAAGAGACCAATGTCCCAGCTAATAGAAATCAGGCAGAAAAATCACCTCTTACTTGGAAGTCCATTATTGACAAAAAGCTATTAATTCATGGAATTCTCTAGTGGTCTTAGGAATACCCAGGAGATAACTAACCATTTCACAATAATCCTCTTCCATTATTGATCCATGCTCTGGTGATCAATTTATCCATAATGATAAAAAACATTTTGCTTTATTTTTTATCCTCACCCGAGGACATTTTTTCATTTTTTGTTCAGACAGAGTGGGAGGGAGAGAGAGAGAGAGAGAAAAACATCGATGTGAAAGGGACACATCAAGTGGTTGCCACCTGCACTACCCAACCAGGGCCAGGGAAAAACTGCAACTGAGGTACGTGCCCTTAGTGGGAACTGAACCCGGGTCTTTCTGGACCACAGGCCAACACTCTAACCACTGAGCCAAACCGGCCAGGGTGAGATACAGTCTTTTAAAATACTGAGTTATGCAGAATTTCCAAATGAGGATAAATTCATTACAACAAAAATTGATCCTGTTTAAAATCCCACAGACATCAGATACATTTTTAAGTACTAAGAAGTTATCAGTCTCACATGACAGATATAGGTCTTCCAAAATTCTAATTCTCACTTGAAATATCAAACTAAATAATCAGTAACAAACCGTCTATTGTTTTTGTCACAGTGATAAGCTTATTTTTTCTCTTTTGGGGGAAAAGTCCACAAATGCATGTCTTTTTTTTATCCTCACCCGAGGACATTTTTCCATTTTTTGTTCAGGTAGAGTGGGAGGGAGAGAGAGGAACAGAGAGAGAGAGAGAGAAACATCGATGTGAAGGGACACATTGAGTGGCTGCCACCCGCACGACCGACCAGGGCCGGGGACAAACTGCAACCGAGGTACGCGCCCTTAGCAGGAACCGAACCCCGGGTCTCTCAGGACCGCAGGCTGACGCTCTAACCGCTGAACCAAACCGGCCAGGGCGTACGTCTTAATACTTATGGTTCTTCTGTTAGATACTCTTTCAAGTATAAATGGTGTTGCTTGCAAAAAGCAGCAGATTAAGCAAAACACAGAACAACCATACAAGCCCAGATAAAACTATTTACTATGAACAACATAAGTCCTCCCATTTTGCAACACAAAATGCTAAAAGTGCACTAAAGGGTTGATATGTAATAAAGTTAATATGTACATTCTTGTGTATACCTGGAATTGTTTTTATTGTTTGTATGTGGTAGTAAAGAATATAATAATGCATAATATAGACTGGTGTCACTGCCTTTATTCCATGGCACTAATAAATGTCAACAATGTGTAAAAAGGCCAATGATGTCTTAGTATTATTATGAATGTAGTTTGACCTCACAGGTACTCAAAAAGTATGTTAAGAATGTCCAAAGCTTCCTGGACCCCACTTTGAAAATCACTATACTGAAGGGTAGCTAACATATAACTTGCTTTAAATGCAAAGTATGCTATGAGTATCAGTCAGATTCTTTTAGAAGAAATCTTATTTTTCAATTAGCTGATTAGAGTTTGGTTAAGGGAGTCTTGGCTCTTCATATGGTTAATATAAGAAAAACACCATTTTCTTCTAATTATTTCCAAGTTCATTATTCTGTCTAGCATTTCTCTAACATTTTAAAGGGTATTACTAGCCTCATTTTATAGAGTAAGAAATTGAGACTACTGTTTGGTGGAAACAATATTAGACTTTAGTTCATATAACTAGGATTTAGTTTTAAAATGTTTTAGTCTCCAATGAGAATTGTAATTCAGGAAAAATATTGTCTTAGGTCTATTTTAAGGGAGAAATATACTTATATCTATATAAGCTCATTATCTCTTACTGATCAACATGAATGACAGTAAAATAGCCAGGAGAGTTCTGTTCAAACAAACAAGTAATTGTAGTTAACTGAAGGGGGTCATTGTTAATCCTAGTCGATAAAGTGGCTAATAAACAATCATTTTTTAAAGATACCAACTCAAATTCAGTCTTTAAAATGGACATGGAGGGTATTACGCTAAGTGAAATAAGCCAGTTGGAAAAGACAAATATCCCATGCTCTCACAAATATGGGGAATCTAATAAACAAAATAAACTGATGAACAATATAGATTCAGAGACACGGAAGCATAGAACCTACTAACGAATCTCAGAGAAAAACGGGAGAGAGGAAGAGATTAAACAAATAATTTATATGCATATATGCATAACCCATGGACACAGACAACAGTGCCATGAAGGGCGAGGGTGGGGGTGGGGATGGGAGCGGGGAAGAAAAGGTGAATGGGGTAAAAACAGGGGGACATCTGTAATACTTTTAAAAACAAAATTTTAAAAGTGATATTTCTTCCTGAAAATCTATAAAGACCAAAGAAGAAACCTTTTTAAAAATATTTTTCTTTACTTTTAAACTTAAAGCTACCAATTCTGTAATTCAAATTTTCTTTGATGTAGTTTTCTCCAGTACAATGCATTACTTCATTAATTTCATTGTTTGCTATTCTAAACCAATATATTATGATTGAGCTTGTTGGTTTGCTCTGTACCTGCTCTAGATAGAAAATTGGTTTTTGAACAAATTCAATATATTTGGAAAAAAATTAAGTGTCCTAAATTACCACTGTGGTCTTCTCCTTCCTCTTCTTCTTCTTTTTTTCAGTTTTTAATGACTTGTAAACAAAAATGCTCCCGTTTCAAAATAAAAACAAAATCACAGATCATATGGATGTTTGCAGTGATTACATTTATCTAAGCAACATACATACATGTTCAATTTTAAGATGTTAACTAAATTTCTTTGACAAATATTCTTTTAAAAAAAATACCAGGAACATTATAGAGTTAATGCAGAGTCCTAAGGATAACCTAGTAGTCACTAAGTTTTGAGGTCTTCACTTTAAATGCTGTTATTTCTAGCACAGGTAAGCAGACAGGGTTTTTAATATGCTCAAACACTGGAATATTTGGTTACTACTATATCAGCTTGCTTGCAAACAAGAAGCCAACCATTTAAAAAAAATGTTTGACGTGAACAACTTGCAAATCTCAGGATGGATTAACCCTAAGAATACACAATTGTGGGCAACTACAACCATTACAACTCTGGCTGAAGACCCTCCATGCCCTTCCTCTGAAATGAGATCTCAAAGCTGTATAGTTCAAAGCAAAATATTTTAACAAAAATTGACATATGCACAATTTCCCCACCAATTTGTGTGTGTCAACCATTTAGTTAACTTTTCCATCTGAAAAAATGCACTAGAAAACTGCACACCGTGTTTCACTATCTCAGTTAATATTCACAATTACATCGGCTACAATTCACAGCATCACCAATGCTGCCCAGAGCCAGTTTATACTGAAATTAAGTTCTTTACACCAAGTAAATGGTTGTCCACAACCACTAGCTAGTGTATATATAAACTAAAATTTCTAAATTTGGGGAGAAACAAATGCTGCTCTGATCTCTGCTTCTTCTGCTCCTTGATTCACGCTTAGAAACCTGTGGGGTTTGGGCCTGCTGACCCTGCCACTTGAAGAGGCAGCTGTTGTGCTGCTTTCTGCTTGAACATCGTCCAATCACATGTGTAGTCACACTGGGGGTTCAGGGTCCTGAAAAGAATGCGGAATAGCTGCCTCAGATACATGTAACCCGGGCTTCCTCAAAGCGCAGTCCACAACAATAGTTTAAGTACATGGCAAATTCTGCAGGAAACCCCTTACATAACACTTCAACCGGAATGGACATCTTCTTTTCACTAATCTTCTCATATTTCTGTATCTTCGTCGCAGCCTTTAGTCCTTGCCACGGCAGGCTGGTTCTGTTAAAATACATCAGAACATATCCCAATGACTCCATGTCATCCCGGCGACTCTGCTCAACACCGAGGTGTGCATTGATGCTAGCGTACCGGGCAGTGCCGGTGAGATTTTTATCTTCTCTGTACGGTATGTGTTGCCTTGTCTTGTGGTCTCTGTACTTTTTGGCCAAACCCAAATCAATAAGGAATAACTCATTACAGTGACGTCCAATACCCATCAGGAAGTTATCCGGTTTAATGTCTCTGTGTATAAAATTCTTTGTATGCACGTATTCAACCCTACTGATCATCTGGTCGGCTAACATGAGGATCGTTTTCATGGTGAAGCTTCTGGAACAGAAGTTGAAGAGGTCTTCGAGGCTGGGTCCCAGGAGATCCATGACCAGCACGTTCTGGTCCTTCTCCTGCCCAAACCACCGGATGTGCGGGATGCCCACCCCGCCCTGGAGGATCTTATAGAGCTTGCTCTCGTACAGCAGCTGCGGGTGCCTGGCCTTCTGGGACTCCAGCTTCACGGCCACCTCCTCGCCATTGGTGATGTTGATCGCCAGATAGATGTCCCCGAAGGAGCCGGAGCCGATCTTCCGCACCAGCTTGTACTTCCCGCGCACGGTGAACTCGGCCTGCAGGCCGCTGCTGCTCTCCATCCTCGGGGAGGAGGACGCAGGACGCGGCCGGGCCCGGCCCCTCTGACAGGAGGACCAGGTCTCCGCGCTGGGACTGGGCCGCGCCGCGGACGGCGGCGGAAACGGCAAACGTGGGCTCTTGGCGTCACAGGGCCCAGAATCCGCCCAGCGGAGCCAGTCACAGCCGCTCGGTCGGGTGTGTTTCCCAGGCCGCAGTTGGTAAGGGGGTCTCGACGTTGCCAGGCTGGGCCGCTTGTTCTGCGGGCGGCCACGGCTGCCTCGCCTTCGCCCCAACCTTGTGGGCTGGGATAGTGGTGTGTGGAGCTGGGGGGGTGACAGGGCTGCCACCGCTGAAGTCGCCTCCCACGGAGAACTCTGTCACTTCGCTGACGCCGCCATCTTGTTACTCCGCCCACGCCGCCATCTTGTCACTCTGCCCCTACCGCCATCTTGTTACTCTGGCTCCAGCCCGGCAAATGGCCGCAGTCCTGGGAGCCGCCTCTTCGCGCGCAGCTGCCTGGGAACCGGGTCTGAGGTGCTGGCCAACCCGGAGGGGCTTCAGTGAGAAGGGGGCGGGCCAGGCAGGGGGCGTGGCCGCCACGCTCCAGCCTCACCGCGGCACCGCCCCACGGCTCCTGCGTCTGGAATTGAACTTGTCTGCGGGTGAACTCAGGCTTCAGTATGTCGAATTCCTGGGATTAATTCATGGCCTCTCCCTTTGGAAAGTGACCGTTCGGAGCTGGAGGTGCTTCCTCATTGGTTAGATTTTTGGCCTTCTGTTCTGTCCCTCATTTTCTTCGCATTGCTTTTTACCTAACAGTTTTTTGTTGGTTTTTAAAAGATGACTGTGCCCTTGCTTTTCGCTGAGCGTCTCTCTGCGTGAACCGCACACCTGTCCCTCTGCAGCCTGGGGAGCCAGAGGGCGAAGGCTGTGGGAACCTCAGCCCTCACCGCGGACCTACCACGCGGAGTTCTGAGCGAGGTGCGAGAGGCCACCTCACAAAGCAGCAGCCCCCAGCGGCCGGAGGGCTGTGGCTGCCGCGCGGGGTGCTCTGCGCATGCGCAGCCCGCCAGGAGGCGCCGATGGCCACCAAGGTAGGAAGGTGCTGGTGAGAGCAGCTTGAAGATTGTCCCTGTCAGTGCTTTTTATCTGCGATAACATCCTCACCCCAGTGCAGTGGCAACTCTTAACGTTTTACTAAGATGAGGTACTTTGTTTCAATAACTCGGCAATTGCAGCAGTGCTATCCACTGATTCCCATTTTTCTTGGATTCACGTGCCTGTATTATTTGGAAGTTAAAATACTTTGTTCGGTTTTTAAAAAAATTGTTTCATTCACGTATTTGTTCCATTAAAAATGTCTCAGACAGTACAACCTATAGATATAAATACTACAGTAAAATGAGGCATCTGCCAGCAAAGAGTTTTTACCTAATCAGGTAAATCCATAGACAGTGTAAGTGCTACATGAAAATGCCATTGTGCCAAACAGCATCTTTTGGATGATTTTTGTCAAATGGGACCCTTAGTACATCACGTGCATAAAAATGTACTTAATTAGCTTGTGTGGAATAAAAAAAGGAAGAAAAAGAAATGAAATGTCTAAAGCATTATTGTCAATCTAGCCATAATAGTGGCTTTAGCTCCCTGAAAGTACCTTCAGTTCTTAAAAACGTGCTGAAATGCACCTTTTTAAAAGGTCACTTAACCCCCTACCCCACCTTCACCACCTGAAAAAATACAGGGAACAAAGGATTGAACAGTCTTGCTGACAGTTCCATGTATTTCCGATGAATACATGCTTGAGAGTCTCCATTGTTTGCCATGTCCACAGACAGGACTCAGTTAATGAAATGGCTAATTAGATTTCTGTAATCCTGTAGTCATTGTGTTTGAGGTGACATTTTGTCAGTATTTCTCCTGTGGCTCCTTCAGTGTGATAGGAAACGTTTTCCCTTAGCCAACTTGGCTCTTGTTATTTTGCTAGAATGGCAGTTCCCTCTGTTGGTGTAATGAAATCATTGCCCTCCCAAATACAGCTCTGCCACTCAGCATTTAAATAGAAAAGAATAGGAAAATGATCATCTGATTAGTCAAACAGGCCCATGTTCAAAATCCATTTCCAAAATCAAATAATAGAATTGGATTGAGTTCAGAGTGGAAGAAAGACTTAGGTATTATTACATAGTGTAGTACATATTCATTGACTAGCAGAATGTGGATGGGTTTAAAGTTCTAAATTCTTGTTCTTATGATCCGTAAGAACTAAATTCTTGAAAAAGTCACAGTAGGAGGGCTATTTTAGGTAGCTTTTTTAGACCCTACCAACTGTATCATAGCCAAGAAGGGAAAGAATATGACCAAAGCCACAATTCAAGTACTAAAGACAAATTATTTAAAATACTGGAATGAGCTTAGAACTTGATAATTGTTTTGTAAAAATAAAATGGATTTTATATATTTGAATTTTAATTAGTCTAAGTTCATTTTTTATAAATTCAACTAATTTTCATTTTGAGCCACCTTTTGATCAGTGCAGAAATTCACTATTAATCATCTTTAACAGAGTCATCTCCACCTTTTTTTCAGGAGATTGTAGCTAAGTTTATGCTTTTTAACTTGATTTGGATATAGAGGTTGGGTATAGTTCTCAAAGCCAACAATCACTCAAGGTTCCAGTAAGATATCTTAAGTTCACCCAGACCTCACGCCTACGTCCACATAGGTTACAGCTGAGATACGCTTTCAGGTCCAAGAATGTCTTCTGTTGAGGTGCGTAGGTGTCACGAATCTATCTTCAGACCAAGCATAGGGAATATCTTTGATTCTAAGGAACTCTATGTACCTAGATACACAATAGAGTACTTTCCTGTCCCAGATGTTTCAGGTCATCTGCACAGCATTATTCTAAATTGAAGACAGAACGTCTCTTTCATCTTAAACCTATATGGCATTAGGCAAGCTTTTAACTACTATACCCAGCATGCCTTCTGCCTTGCAATCACCTAGCTTACGCAGTCATCACTTCCACTTGGTCTCTATTTCCATCTCTTGTTAATGCCCAACAAGTTATCTATATTCTAGCCTGAAAATAGAGATAAGGTGATGGTCAGAAATGAAGCTTTGATTATAAATATGGTAACTTTTCTAGTATTATTTGTGTCTTCTGTAATGCTTTTCATTCTCCAAAGAATGCTTTTTGAAAAGCCAGGAACAAAGTACCATCCTCTTCCTTTCTGCTATGCCACAGGAATTCCCTGATGCATTAAGTGAAGAATAGCAAAAGCTGTGAGGTATGAGGAAAGGGGAAAATTAGAGAAAAGAAATACTGGGAAAGATCAGTGAAAATAGCAAAAGTTCCCACTGTGGTTTTGTGTGTGTGTGTGCGTGTGTGTGTCCCCAGAGCAAACTTGTATGATAACTTTGTGTCATCTTGGGTGGATCAAACGTTTTTCCCCAGAATTATCTTCCTTGTATGTTTCTGGAGAGGATTGGATATAGGAGAGATTGTCTCACAAAATTTAGAGGAAGGAAGGGAAGAAGTAGATATTTCATATCATACCCACACCTTTCTCCCTTATCCAATCAAACACTAATCTAGGTGTTTCTGTGAAGAATTTTTGCAGATGTAATAAAATTGATGATCAATTGACATTCATTTTGAGAGATTATCCTCAATGGGCATGTGGGCAATCAGAATTTCTTAAAAGTAGGACTTAAGAGGGAGAGAAAGAGATTCCTACTTATGAGCAACATTGATACACACACACACACACACACACACACACACACACACATTTCTGATTATGCTTCTCTAGTTGAAGCCCTGACAAATAAAACCTGATCAATAAACACATTTTTTATCTAACCAATTGGTTTCAGTCCCTCACTTCTGAAAGTCAGCAAATCAGCAATGAATTGGCTCTAAAAAATATTCCCCTGAATGTCAGCTAGTCTACAACAGTTTCCTTCTAGTAATCACAAATCTATAGATTATGCCTACCTAGTTTATACCTTTAGGAATAAAGTTAGCAAATCCCTGAACACCATGCTTCCCTGAATCCTTATATAAGATCAATAGTCTGCTCTGCTCAGAAAGGCTGTGCCTGGCCAGCATAGCTCTCCTTTATTATAGTGAACAATAAAATCAGTTTTGTCTTTTCATTTCAGATATGGAGTACTGATTTCATCATCCTTCACACTCCACTACACACATGCATTACGATTCTCCAGAGAAATAGAGCCAAAAGATATCTATATCTATATATCTATATCTATATGTCTATGTCTATGTCTATATCATCAATAGCTTAGGATATATCTTGCTTTCACACTCATCACTTCCATATAGCCTCCATGTCCATTTCTAGTTTACTCTCAATAAATGATCTATATTCTAGCCTGAAGGTAGAGTAATGGGAGTAGTGAAGCCTTGATCGCACACATGATACCTTCCCTAATATGATTTGTGTCTTCTGTGATGCTTTTTATTCTCAAAGGACCTCTGCTGATCTCAGCCTAAATCGGTATATAATTGCATGTCTGGCCTTTTTTGCCTTCCAAGCAAAGAGAACAACCGGGTGTTCTGTCCACTAGGGGAAGTTCCCCTCATCATTGTTCTTCAGGGATGTTCCAGAGAGAGATCGTAGAGCTGCACTTGTCCACTTTTAGGTGGTGCCTGCGTATCCTACAGAACCATCTGAAAACTGGGCCTTCTCTTCTATCAAGTAATCAGAGAGAATTTCCCATGGGACCATAGGTGCAGGCTGGGGGAGAGAAGCTCATGAAGACCATGAGCATTTGGGCCATTTCATCATGTAACTACTCAGATTCTACTCAGGCCTCTTCATTATGGAGGTCAAGAAATTCCATGATCTGCCCTCTGTAAGCTGGATAACCAGGGAAAGCCAGTTATATAATTCATTCTGAGTCCAGAGGCCTAAGCACTATGGGAGCTCAATAGTGTAAGTTCAGGTCCAAGGTGGAGGCCTAAGAACCAGGAGCACCAATGTCCCAGAGC